GTTGCGGTCGCAGAACAACAAGGCCTGAAACATCCTGAAACATGGGGACCAACATCCACATATTCCGTGTATTTTGCTAAGGTATACCGACCAAAGATGACTAATGTGTAGTTGTGATTATAAAATCCCCAGGGATTAATCAACCTCCACACAGGAAAAATGTTTGGGCAATGCTTGATTAATAAACGGGTGGGAATCAACCGATCAATCAACCTCCACAGGGAAATCCCTTTTGTTTGTCACATGCAGTCACATGCTTTGAACACCACTCCTTTCAAGTTTCACACAGAGCTTTGACTCCGATAAACCTCTTGAGAAAGATTCCCCAATAAGGTTTTGTTGTCTCAACGCAAACTACAATCATAGGAGTTAGTTTTTTTAGGTTTAAAGGGGAAATCGAAATAAAATGAAAGCAGATTGATTTCATTTGAAATCTTGCTAATCTTTTGATTTCATCTAGGTTAAAAAGAAAATTAAATGAAAGTAGATTATCAAGTGAAATCGCTACTAATCTTTGGGTTTCTGTTTGGTCTTGGAAAACACAGACAAAAATCCGGAAAAAAAACGTGGAAATCGGAACAAACATGTTCAAGACCAAGCGCGTGGTGGGCGAGACGTGGGCAGAGCTGAGCCTCGCACATCGTCAAGAAAGATGAAGACGAAGAAGAAGAGCTACGCCAGGAGAGGGTGCGGGGGAGGGTGTTCAAGGAAGATGAAACAAAAAAAACACGTCCAAGGGAAAGGGAAAATCTGTAAACAAAAACGAAAAACAGAACATAATTACAAAACAACTACGAGCAAACAAGGACCACAAGACGGCAGGCCAGACTTCCCAAGGTAGACCCAGGTCGAACTCATTCCCATTTGGGTTCCGGATATGTTTAGGCACATAGCTCGCATGACTGGCTGATCATTTGCGAGCCCTTGGCTTGGCATTCGCATTTGCACAAAGATAAATTTGAATCAGTAATAATTAGTAATGTTGATTATGGAATACTACCCGTTCTACCCGGCAAATTGGAATTATGAGCTCTTGGAGGTGTCAAGGAATGATCAGCCGAATTGACTGATGAATATATCCAGAAAAGGCTGGCATGTTCACCGTAGATTCTGTGGAACCAGGCCGCATGTCAGGTTGTCAGGTTGCACCCCGAAGCCAACCATGCGAATGTCTAAAACTCCGGTTGGTGTCATGACCAACTGTGCTGGTCATGACGATCCGGTATTTGGCACGGAGCTGTTTGGAACTATGGGTGCCAATATCAAACTACCACAGTTTTGCGTGAATTGTTCACCATTTGATTGGCAAACGTCTCTGCAAATGATGGTGTGCATATGGAAAGCTATGTCCAAAATAACCAAAAATTTGAGGCAGGTGAATGGTTGGAATTAAGCGGAATCATTGTTCTTTCCGACTACCACAAAATTCATCATGTCACACACTTTGTTTTCAATAATGCCACCAGGTTGCTTGCGGTTTTACCCATTCAGTATAGCCAGGGTGAATTTTGCCACTTGCCGTAGAAACAATAGCATATATTTTCCAAGCAGCGGCAATGAAAACATTCAGAGCTGTTATAGCAGTCATAGCACGTGGCAGGTTGTGATTGGAATCCTATTTGCCATCGGCAAGCCTGAAGTCAACAAGTCCTCTGCAACTCGGTCATGGAGGGTCACGGGTCAGCTTGCTTGGCGTGAAACCTTTGAAGTAGTGGGTACAAGATTGTGCTCTCCAGTGGTGTTACTCCGGTTTTAAATTCGTAGCTATAAACAATATTCATATATATATATATTATATATATGTATACAGTGTACATGTATATGGTTTACCATCAGCATCCATCAACCCTACTCAATCCTTTTAAAAGCAAACTTCGCAATCTTTGGGGCACCACCTTCACGCCTCGCTGAGCAATACATAATTTGACGATTTGTTTGTTTTTTCTCGGCCGTCCCAGCCAGAAGTTTGGCTCTTGTTTTTTAAGATAATTTAAGTTGGCCATGTGTATTAGCCACAGCTGCGGTTAACCAGGTTATAGTATAGAATTAGTGTTGCAACCATTTTCTGAACCAGTGATATTACAACAACTGGCTTGTGATTGCAAATATTCATCTGGTTGGCGGTTTCAAGCATGTTTTTCCATTTCATATATGGGATGTCATCCTTCCCATTGACTTTCATATTGTTCAAGATGGTTTTTGCACCACCAACCAGTCATCGTTTTTTTTAAACTCGACAATGACCCTAATTGGTTTTCATATCGGATGGCTCAGGCGGGTGGGAACCACCAACAAGCGGATAATAGTTTTGATCATTCACTTCGGCGTAATGCCGCTATTGCTTGTGGAATGATGGAAACCTCAATATCATGACATGATCAGCTTACCACATGTCATGTCACACTCATCATTTCGTCAATTGCGACAATTATGTCTAGTGAGGTAGGTAGGCACCTATCAATAGACGTTCTGGTCAAAATTGTGGCATCAATGGGCCCACCACTTGGCAACAGTGGTGTTCACTTGTGCGTGTATTGAAAACCAATTGTGTTTTGGGGACGGTTAGCTCTATAACATGGATCCATTCCCGTTTCATCCCGTTTCAATATTATTGGTGCTAAATGTCCTTGTTGTTCACCTCCGCAACGCAGTTGTTGGGTTGTTCAAATGTAGCCCGCAGTCATGTGCGTCTAGCGTTTCCAGACCTGATTAACAACAATTGAGCATAACTGACACACAGAAGGCTTTTGGGGTTTCATTCCCCGTGAATACCCTCTGGTTATTTAACATAGCCATGAAAAATGGTCCATCTATAGATGGTTTACCTATTAAAAATTGTGATTTTCCATGGCTATGTTAAATAACCAGAGGGTAAGTTTCCAAACTTGCAATTGTTTGTTCCCTACGAGGAATGGAAAATCACGGATCTGGATCCCCAAGCCCCGGCAGAGGCACATCCCGTGCAAGTGGTCTTTGACCATATGCTTTGGCAATATAGGGGTGGGTCCCCAGTCCCCAGTCCCCAAAGAAATGCAGATAAAAAATTGGGATACGAACTACATGATGTTGTTCAAACGATTTCTAGTTTCCAATGTTTGTATTTTGTTTTATCCTAAGCTCAACCATTTGGCCTATTTGCAAGCAGGCGGCCGTGTCTGCAGTGGCTGTTTGGACCATCATGTTGTTCATGTTCCATTTTGATTGCGAACGACTAACGTTACGTAAGTCCAACTGTCATACACACAATTTCATGATTGAGACATCATGTTTTCAATGATTCTGAGTTCTGTGTGAAGGCACTTGGCCCCTTGGCATGCTGCAAACATGCACATATTTTCCATGCGATTCTAAACGAAAATGCGGATATACGGTATACATGCATATGTTTGTGTCTATGTGTTTGGCATGGGTGGTCCGAGCACCAGCACAGGTCAATTTTCGCTGCTGTCCCTACTGTTGGTTCGTATGTTTTATACAGGCAGCTATGTTTGTGGCCCCAAAAGTCCACAGCACGGGAACCAGACCAGGTAGTTAATACCCAAACGGCTGGGATATGCATGCGTATTTTACTTATATACATTCATAGATTCTGATCAGATTGAACACATGAACAGTTCAGAAAATGTTGGAAAACCGGTTTATCTCAACCTCATGAGAATGCCTCCCCAAACCAACATGCAGTGCCAGGCCTCAGTGATCCTCACGGGCCGAGCCTTTGAACATTGGGGCAATGGAAAGGAAGTGAAGGCGTTGCGCAGCTGGGAAAGCGCCTGGTGAAGGAAAACTGATGGTCGTTTCATGTTCCAAAAGATTGGGGAAACTGAGCGGTGAAGGGCCGATTTCGTTTGCCAACTAAAAACTTGGATACTCATGAGTTGCAGCCAGATAAAACAACTAGATGTTTTTGTGGCAAGCATCTAAAGCGATCGTTTTCGTAATTTTGATTGACCAGATGTGGGCCGCGTATGATCTCCAATTGGAGGTGTTTTTCGGCGTTTGACCACATTAAACAACCACTGCTCGAAACGTTGTTGTTCTATGTTTTTCTGTCTAAGACCATCGCTTCTCCCAGGTGGGTCAAATCATCGGCCTGCTAAACCCGCAGCTGTCCTGTCGAAGTGGTGTTGGTGGGACCCAGGGGAGCGCAACTTTGGTTCTTGGGATAGTTCCGACCTAAAACGAATAATTATAGGTGGCAGCCATCCAAGCGGACCCCACATATATGTTCACACATATGAGCTTTGGTTGTTGAAGATGTGTTGTGATTTGTTAGTATTAATTTTGTTCATGACACCGCCCCTAGCATCAAGTAAATCGTTTTCACAATTTCTGCCATGTTCTCACGCCATCCCCTGATCATTTACAACGTTTGTGAACGCTGTGAGTGTCTCCGCATCAGCTTCAACCCACCGTTTCCACCGAACCGTGCCGGTCACTCTCCCAGATCTTATGATTTATATTTGTGTGTCCAATCAATTTCAAATTTAAAATGTAGTTGGACCCGTTGCTACCAGTCAGGCATCCTGGCGACTCATCATTTTTTGATGTCACCAATCTTGTTGCTTGAACTTTCGACACTGGGAGGCAAAGGGTTTCCATGTTGGCAAAAGAACAACAGACCAAATGCATTTGACGATGATTTTCGATAGGTGTTTGCTACTTTGATGTGCAATGCGCTTACTAAGTGCTTGAACACAATTTCTTTTTAGCTGGGTTATCCCCTAGATCTTCACACATACCACCCAGCTCCTGTGTATACAATTGTTCCTAATGGTTCTTAAAAGTTACAAAACCAGTTATACTAGATAGCTAAGTTGGTTAATAACTCCAATAACTATGATTTATGGCAGATATAACTATAGTTAATGGGGTTTATAAACCAACTTATAACTGGGGGGCACCACCTTGTAGATATGAAATTCCATCATTTGAAGAAGCATTGCCGCGCAAAACCAATGGATTCCCATGCTAAAAATGCTTTCTTTGGCCCAAGTCTACACCCCAGTTGGGCTCTCGTGCAGCGCCGGCGCCGGGGGTGGTGCCATGGCGGAGTTTCACCACCCCAATGTGCCTGACATGGAGGCCAAGTGGGACATCTGGAAGGGGAAGGGGAAAACTGGATCCTAGCTTGAGGTTTCACAATGGGTCCAGCAATCAAAATGTGATTCGCCAGCCGAATTAGGGCTGATAATATCCTACTTTTTCTTTTTGGAACCCTGGAGGTGGGAAACGAATAGAAAGTGAAACAGTAAATCCTATGTATGGAGTAGCTCGCATGGGTCCAAGAAAAAGTCACTGGTTGGTGGTTAGCCAACGAACAAGTTGAGTATGAGACGATGTTATGGGGACCTAGGAATGATATAATTGATGGTAGTACATATATAATCATATATATATATATATATTTTTTTTATTATCTACAATCTAAAAGGTATGGTTTCATATGCTTCTATGATCCACACAGGGGGTGTGGCAGATATATGGGGCAAGAATGGAGGCAGAAATGAGGGCAGTGGCAAAGTCAGCGGCGAGACATGTGGGCAATAAGCATGGCAACCATCAATGTGTGGCAAACCACATGGCAACCATCAATGTATATTATATATATATATATGTACTGACATATAGCTAATGTGGGTTTGTATGTATAGCCTACATTTCTATTTTTGTTTTATCTGAAAATCCGGTATCGCCCCAAAGCGATCCAAAATGTCAGTTTTAATAGGGAAGATGTCAATTAGTAATATTGTTTTTGGATATTTTCCCTGAGGCAAACCAATATTATAGGGAATAACTCCAAAGATCGCTTGCTTCTTTGGGCTTAGGACTTGAAACAAAATCATTCTAAATAGTGTTGACTGATCGTCTCAAAGATGTGTTTGTTCCCATCCTACTTGGGATGAGGGTTCTCCGAGCCAGCCTGCGGCTTCGAAGCTTATCTGGGATGGTTCATACAAGGTACCACCATTGAACACCATGTGTCAACTGAGGGAGGCTGGTAACGACGGATCCAAACCACACACCCGTCTTAGTTAGGGGCGGAATTATTTACCATCCAGCAGAAAGTCTTGAATTGTAGTTAGTACCAACAAAAAACTGGGCTACCAAAGCATGTGAATAATCCCTGAGGCGGCACAATGGCATACAATAGACATGGGCCCACTTCCAATTTTTCCAAGTAGTGAAATGTAGGATTGTCCTAAACAAGCCCATGTGTTTTGCAGTTTTTACTTCAACATTTGTAGTGCTTAAATCCCAGCTAACGGGTTGGTGACGGCACGTTTGACGTTAAGTCCAAATTGTCTCTTTAGCTTTATTTTCTAACATGTTCTATAGGTAGATCATCTATAAATTGGTTTCCGCATTTATGTGAGTTTACCCTAAAGTAATGGAAGTTTTACGCTTCAAGTCCAACTTTGACCCCGGGCCCATCCTCGACCGGTCCTGCATTCAGGAACCGGGGGTGCCGAACACCAGCGCCCCAGCCTTGCGCGACCTGAAGCTGGGCAGACCGTGATGTTGGAACATGGGCTTGTCTGAAAATGTGGATTTAATGTAGGGGGACAATATCTGGGCAAATTATATCGACCGCACTGCGACCTCACTGGAATCATGGTTAATAAGAGGAATAATCCCAATAGCGGGCCGCAAGTTTCAGGTTAGTGAATTAATTAATATAATTTGCCCCGACAATATGAGACAATGGTGATTTTATCACTGATGAAAATCAGAATTTAAGCAGGAAAGAATAGTTGATGAACATGTGGATTCAACTAGGGAAAACGAGAAAAATATGGTATGCAGCCAACAATATGATGCTGGGGTTTGTCTGATAATGGGCATACCACCCATGAAAATCATGAAATTGCAATTTTAAGTGAGAAAATGATGATAAACCCATGACCCATGAATTTTGAGATGATCCATTGTCACACAAACCCATGAATCAGGATGATTGTCTCATTGAAACATACTGACACTTGCCTTGTTTGCAGTTTGAAGCTCCAGCACATTGTGCGGCGCATGGGTCAAAATTAGAGCACCTTGACGACTATAAAAACATGTTTATAATATTACAAGTAGATACGGTAATCCACCCATAGGACATGTTGCATTGCCAGGGTAGGTAGCAGAGGGCACCCCCCCAAACAAATGGTTCATGTTTACAAAGAAATGACCGAAGTGTATCCCAAGAAAAGCATCAGTGACAAACAACGACCACAGGAACTTGATCCAAGCTAAGTCATGGCCGAACAACAGTAAGGGTGGTCAGGCAAGCAAGCGATTCAATTTGCAGCCCAATGTTCCATGGATCTTAACGGGCAATCGCCCATAGAATTTTGGTTTTCCTGGGGCGATCCAGATCATACACTGGCATGTCGGCGTCCACATTCCCGTTAAAACGGGGAGTTTCCAGGACGTACTAGCAGTTCCCCAACCACATGATCATGGTTCACAGGCCCTATCCATGTGCCATGCATGAAAGTAGGTCGCCCAAAATCCCGTATATCATTGTACATTCTTGGACAAGTTCATGTCCATCATGATGAATTAAACCGGTATTCTTGATTTCCGGCTGCTTAAAAGCTTTATGTTTTAACAAAGACAAGTTGCACAAGCAGTTACAAGCACCCCTATGAGTTCGTTCCTCTGATTCCATCAGCGTGAGCCGAGGAAACTTCCAAGCAGCACCACGCTACCACACCTTCCAAGCGAGCGCGAACTCTTGTCTCCTATGTCCTCCGTGGACAAGCCTCCTGTCTTTCCGCGGATGATGCTGGACGGGTTCCTCTGTAGCGACTAGCTGACTAGCTGACCTCGCTATTTGGAATGAAGGGTACGTTTTACTATATGTTTTATTTGTATTGCCGATTGCAGTTTGCTGGGGGGAAGTACCCCAGATTGGCCACGAACTTCCATTAACCCATGCACTTCTATTGTTTGATGCACTCAAAATGTCGTTGAGATGATTCCCCCTGAAACTCCGATGATCCCCTCGTCGGGAATCTCATGGCCTGAGCCATACATTTTCTGCATCCGGCTTTTTAAAAAAATATTGAAACCAGTGGTTGAGCCGTTGAGCCTATAGAAGGGTAGTAAAAGCAATTACATATTAGTAGTGCACGACCCTGGATTTCATTTCCGATGCTGGTGAGCATGCTGAAACCTCATCTTCCCAGTCGATTGGAGTTCTCAGCTCCTCAGGCGCCTCAGGGCCCCCTGAATAGGCACATTTGATATAGAAAAGGATCTCCCCTGAGCAGTTGGTTCAGTTGTCCCCATCTCACTTGAAATATGCCCACCATACGTCCAACAGTTAGCCCTTACACAGCTAGATCCACCTAATTCAACGATATTTGTGATAGCCAAAACCCTACTCTTGATAGTTAAAACCTGTTAAAATCCTTTTAAACCACGAATTCCATATAGTTAAATCCCATTAAATCACAATATTTGAAGGTTAAATTCATGAATATTGATGTTTAAATCACCATTTGAATTTTGGATGATTGAAATAGCATCTTTGGTTAGTTGGCGCCCAAGGAAAACATCCAGACGCTCGGGTGGCATGCCCTCACCTACCTCGCCAACGCTGCGCGACACCGCGGTCGCGCCGGTTGCGCCGCTTGGCGTTGAGGTTCCAGGAATTCACATGGTGGTTTCCGAACTCGTGGGGGATCCCCAACAGCTGGTTGGTTTCCTACATGGAAAATCCCAAAGAAAAATGAATGATGTAGGGGTGCCCCCTCCTAGGTGGAGCGGGTGAATCTGCTAAAGGATGCTAAAAGCCGAGTTGAACCAAACATATGTGTGGGGTTTTTAATGGATACTAATGGATTTTAGTAGATTTTAGAAATGGACATGTCCATATCTTAATTAATGGATATTTATTATTGGTCCATAATTCGTTAGAATGGATCGCCACAATCCGAAGAATCGTCCAAAAGAAAGAATGATGTTGTTGGATTTCCAGCAATTAGCGGTTTCTCATGATTGCGGCCTTTCACTTGCCCCGGGGAAAAAAACTTCACCAATCCAAAATAAATCTGTTTGAAAATGTGAACCAGGACGGGACTTGATGATTCTCACACCCAGCTTGCACATTTTGGTTGTCATGGCTACCTACTTACTTTTCCATATTGTTTCGAGAGATGGGATGAACATACCTTCATTCTCCCTCAGGGGCGGGTACCTGAAGATCAGTTCTTAATGCAAGCATGGTCCCAAGTGGGGTGAAAACCTGTCAGCAACTGATGTTTTCACGGGATACTAGGTGTTGCACAGAGCCAGGCCCCAAAACCTTGGGTCGAAACCAAGGATGGAAGGCCTTTCACAGCCATTTCGTATGCTGGTGGATCGCTTGGTACAACAGCCACACAGCAGCAGTTGCTATCCCAGGTGAGGATGGTAAGGCCCCCAAAGCTTTTGAAACATTTGAAGCATTTTCTATGTGATCTCCGTAAATGTTGTTTTTTGTTTTCGAGCTCTGGTGACATGCATGTCAGCACAAGGATTTCCTTTGCAGCTGCAGAATGAAATTATTCGAGCTCTGATTTTTTTTTAGGCAGATGCATGTGCTCAACCGTTCCTTGGGGCGGTTGGAATAGTTGAAACCCATGGCAAATTTGGCTTCCTCCCGCATGGAGGGATCCCCAGGAACCTGAAGAATTCCAAGGGGAGTGGTTCTTTAAATCTTGAAGTGAATGATGTATTGTAGAACCTTCTGAATGGTCCAGCCAATCATGTGTGTGTGGTATACGTATTTATCGCACACCTTGGCGATCAACATGCCCTTAACAAATGGTAGGAATCAAGAGACAGGTCACACGTGGCAAGCCCTAATTTAATCGCAAGGGTAGAAACGTTTTTCCAAGTAAGCAGTATTTGAGAATAGCAGTAGGCTCCTCCATCTTATCGAATAGTAGTTCTTAATAGTTAACCATTTTATAAGTAGTTCTTTAATATGTGGTTCTTGAATATTATTGAGTGGTTGCTGCAAGTAACATTTTTTTAACGCAGCTTTGCAAAAACCATGGAGGGAAGCGCTGAGGCACCTTCTCGAGATGTCGGAATTGGAGGCAAGGGGTGGGCGAATGGTATTTTGTCAAGTGCTATTTTTTTCATGGGGTAATTATGGGTAATTTATTGGAAAATAGAGCATATATATACATATATATACCATCCGAACATACCATACATACGATACATACCGTACATACTATACATACCCTACATACCCTACACACCATACAGACCATACAAACCTTACATACCATACATACCATACATACAATACATACCATACATACCATACATACCATACATGCCATACATGCCATACATGCCATACATACCATACATACCATACATACCATACATACATACATTCATACATTCATACATTCATACATACTTACTTACTTACTTACGTTCTTACTTTTTACATACTTACATACTTACATACTTACATACTTACATACTTACATTCTTACATACTTTCATACTTGCATACTTTCATACTTACATACTTACATACTTACATACTTACATACTTACATACTTACATTACATACTTTAATACAATGATACAATGATACAATACTACAATAATACAATGATACAATGATACAATACTACAATAATACAATACTACAATGATACAATAATACAATACATACAAACATACATACATAGATACATAGATACATAGATACCTAGATACATAGATACATAGATACATAGATAGATAGATAGATAGAAAGAAAGATAGATAGATAGATACATAGATACATAGGTACATAGATACATACATACATACCTACATACCTACCTACCTACCTACATACCTACATACCTACATACCTACATACCTACATACCTACCTACCTACATACCTACATACCTACATACCTACATACCTACATACCTACATACCTACATACCTAAATACGGACATACATACATACATACATGCTCGAATGCGTGCATTCACAAATGCATACATGCGTACATGCATACATGCATACATGCATACATGCTCAAATGCGTGCATGCACAAATGCATACATGCGTACATGGGTACATAAATGCATACATGCTTTCATGCATACATGCATACATGCGTACATGTATACATGATTAGATGAATGGATGCATAGATGCATAGGTGCGTGCACGCATACATACATGCATATAAACATGGATACATTATTTCTGGGATAATAACTACAATCAACATAGTCGAACTTTATGGGGAATTTTCCATAACCATATTTGACTACCAGAGGGTGAACATTTCTTGGAGGATGAACATCACTTGGTCAACAGGGGTGCCGGGTTGTTTAACCTGGTTCAAATGGCCAATTTACATGTGATTTACCTCTTTAAATCTGTTTATCATGGTGAATTCATGGTGATTTTTCAGGGCAATGGATTACCAGAGGGTAAGTAAAAATTAGATGGGGATGGACCAACACTTTTGAACATTACCTTATATCTGGGGAGATGAGCATCCATGTGCTATTTTGATCTATTTTGGGGTTCACTAGGGTGCCTGGTGTTTTTGGCCTGTACCCAATAGATGCTCGAGCTGTTCATCCATGATTAGAATGAATGTTGGCAATCCATTTGACATTAATGTTTTTTTCCACTTCAAAGCACAGGAATGATCCCTTCACCAAAAAATGGATTCTGACTGGTTCTGGGCCCATGGATCCCACTGCGTGTTGTTCACGTTCTGACTTCGTTTTTTTGCCCCGGGTCACTCAAGATCCCCTGTATTACTTGCAAGGGGACCCCATGGTCGGATTTGGAAGCCTGGAAAAGTCAAGGATACCTGTCCCATATGTTAGTTTTAGATATAGCGTCTGGAATCATCTTAAGCCAACCTAAACGAGGCAGTAAAATAGAGACGATCATATTCTGACGTATATGGTTTTGTCTGAAAATTGTTTGCCCCAAAAGTTTGATGATTTATACATGTTTAGACTGGTTTAGGCCATAACTTGTCTTGTGATTTGCTGTTTGATCATTTGGATTTGCATACCGTCAGCAGCCAACCCAGTTGCTGTAATGTGGCCTTGGCCCCTGCAGTCTGCCAAAGAATATTGGCAGGCGATGAATGTGTTGGCTAGAGATGATTTGGGATTTGGTTTTGTGCTTGACAAAACTTTTGGCATTCCTTTTAAAACCTGTGGCCTGCACAGCCTTGGCATTCACGTATTCTGGTTTGGCTTCGGCCGTTGGCAGATTTGTGCATCTTCAGACCAGCATTTCGAACTCGTAATTTGGCTGGTTTCAGCTTCCTTCAATTCGAAATTTATGAAATCAACATTCAATTATCAATTGATCATCGCATTTGTGCTTCCGAGCCTGCACGTGTGATTTCGTGGCTTCCATTGCCTTGTTTGATTTGTGTTGTTGCTCAAAGCACCTAGGTCCAGATTTTTCTGGACGGGAGAAGCATGCAAGCAGGCGGTGTCTCACAAAAAACCTCCTGACCGCCCTAGGTGCAGTTAAAAGTGTAGAGCGGCCGTGACGTGTCCTCTCCTGTTCATGGCTATTTGATCTTCTGATCGCTTCAACTGGGCCATCCGGTGACCTGCGTCTTGCACGTCTCGACGGGGCCCCTGTTATTCCCGGATCTGGTTTTTCTGGCTTCGTGGCTATTCCATATTCTTCATCCCCACCGTACCTACACAGAGGTGTGTTTGTCTCCAAAATCGTCCATGGCACGGGGATCTGCTCCCCACAACGTTATTGTACATGTATGCTCTATTTGGTGTTCCTTTGCTTCAGAAGTTTTTCCTACTGTGGATATTCCATTACACCTGGCTGTGACTGACCGCAAGAAACTAGCTGATTGTCTGTGTGAATGCGTCTTCGCTCGTTTAAAAGTTGCTTTGCGCCGCAGGAGAAAGGGATGCCAGCTTTGGAACACGATCGATGTTTGTCTCCAAAACCTGCTTGAATGGGTTTTCCCCGACTCTCCAAAAAGCCGCCGTGTCTGTGCTGACGTGGATAGACTTGTTTGTATATTTGCAATGGCCCGGGGTGCTTTGTGGTTACAACACAACCCGTCCCACAAACATGCGGTTGCCGTTCTGCGTTTGCTACCCCCACATTTGGCCAAAGTTTTCTCTTTGCCTTTTCAGAAAGATGATGGTGCTATTGCTGCTTTTCTGGCCTTGCAGAAGTCTGCCATTTTTTCTCAGGGTGATCGACATTGTTTCCTGTATCAATGGTTTTGTGAACATTTTCGGTACACTGGTATTGCCTCGAATTTTCGTGAAAGTTCGCAAGCTTGCTCTGGCCTTGTTCAGCGGTACTTAGAGCACCTCCTTGGCACTGTCCGCCCTCATGTTTCAGGCTCTAGCAAGTTCAGATATCGCTTGGCCAGAAGGTTTTCTCCAAGCACCTTTGGGTTCCTGGCTATTTGTCTTGGGGAAAAAACATGGATCCAAGCTGTGGAGTGGCACGATATCGTCACCACCCGGCCAAATGCAAATGGTTTTCGGCCCCGTAGGCGTGTCAAAAACACTGTCAGGTTTCGTCCTTTTCCGGAGCAACGATGCATGGCCGAGGGCCAGGACAGCAAAGGTCACCAGGACCTTCTCCAATACAGACTGAACAGGCTCGAGGCGTCTTTTTCCAGCCGAGCAATATGCAACAACGCGCCAAGACAGCATTCCCACATTTTGCTTATGCCTTTTGGAAGAGCGTATGCATGGAGACTTCGACAGCTTTTTGCACTCCATGCAACTTTTGGCCCACTGAACATTTACGCCCGTGAAGAAAGTGACCTCTTGGCTCTTTGGTTCGCTTGCAGATCACCTGCAGTTTCTTGGCCTTCTTTGCAACGATCATGGAATATGCCTTTTTTGCTTCCTGCTTTGAACTCTTTGCGGCTGAAACTTCCTAAGCAGGGCCAGCGCGGGATGTTTACTCGCCGTATCCGTGCATATTTGCACTGGAAAGGTCTCCCTACTTCAAAACTACGGTTCTCTGCCTTGGATGCTCCGTCTGTTGGCTTTGTCAAAAGAATGGTTTACAAGGTTTTGGATGGTGCACAAGGATGGTCTGCAGCCGAAAAGCGTTGGTTGAAGTCGCAGGTGTGTGTCACTCAGGGACGGAGGTTAACTTTCAAAAATTCGTGGAACCACCAAAAAGTTGCAGAAGGTGCGCATTTGGAACAAATCAGATCGGCACCCAGGCGTGTATTGTCTCAGATTTTGAATGGAACAGGCTTCCTTAGGCCCTCAAAAAACTGGGATGTGGCTCGTCGTTTCTCCCTCTGTGAGCGCAAGTCTCGTGTTACTGCAGCTATTCGGTCTGGGTTTGCTGATGCTGGTGTCAACATGCGGTTCTTGCCCAGTATTCCTGATGTGGTTGATGTACATGCGTCTTCACATGCTGCGTTCTTGATCGAAGCACAGCGTTTGCAACAAACGGACCATGTCTACAAGTCTTACACAAAAGACTTGGAACATCACTTGAAGCGTTCCGCAGTTGTGCCAGATGACAAGTCAAAGCGTACTGCTTGGGTGATGTCCCGGTTTGCATATCAAGTCTTGTGCCTGGTTTTTGTTGTTTTCTCCTCTTCTTGGTCTTTTGTGTCCTTTTCCCGTCGGACAGCAAACGAACTATTGCTTGAGCGAATGAAATCTGTTCTACCTCGTCATGTTGCTGACCAACTCGGCTTGTTGAGCAACCCATGGGTTTTACCATACTGCTATGTCACTATTAAAGAAAAGTGCTGGTGGAATGGAACGTTGGCTGCCCGTGTTTGTTCGAAGTGGGGTCACAGCTGTGTGCGCAAAATATGTGCTTATGCCGCGTGGCCAAAGAAGCATGCATGGCGCTTGTACAACAAGAGTCTTGTCTTCTTGTCTAAGACCTTTGCTCCTGGGTTTGCAACTTGGGGTCTGTTCGATGCATCGCATCGCTTGTTTACTGGGATAAGAAAGTTGAGCAGGCCACGGAGTTCTGTGCCCACGTGCTGCATTCGGTGTCATGGGAGCTGTCCAGGGCTTAACGTCATCGTCGCTGATGCTGGTCAGTTTTTCGAAGAGGTAAAGTCGGAAACTGCATGTCGGGCTGCGTGTTCTTTGGTTCTCCAGGCAAAGCAGAAGGGGTGGCGTACCGTGGGTCTTTGCCGAAAAAAGAAGACAAAACCCTTTTTGTCTACCGCTTCGTCTGCATTGCGTGGTCGTATACGGTTCCTTGAAATTGATGACATTTTCCAGGTGTTTGTTTCTGCTATGTCTGTATCCATGGTATCCATTGGGCATGCAGTAGCGAGTATGACTGGACTCCCAATCGGAGGCTTGTTGTCACAGGCAGCTGCGTCAACAGTGTTGGGGCGCGAGGAGGAAGTTTGGCTTCGGTCCCATCATTACCGCCGTTTGCAAGGGTATCAATCCGTTCAGAATGATTGGGCTTGCACTTGTCTTCAACTCCGCTATGTGGATGATGTAATCTTTGCTTCATATGTTTTTTGCAGGGGATGTTTGATAGATATGATTCCCCTGATTTATGTTGAAAAATTTGACGTGAGTCCAGAAAGCGATGAGCAGTGCTGGCTGGACATGGTGATTGATCTTACAACTGGCTTGATTCGCCCAAAGGCTTTTTCCATCACATTGCCACCGCAATGGGGAGTTCAACGGCAATTTTTGAGACCTATTGTGATCAACGTAATTGCCAGGACTTTGGCCACATCATTCAACACAACTTTGGCCCATGTGCACTTGTCGTCGTGGCTTTTGAATGTTTTAAAAGCTGGGTGGAGTTTGCGGGCAGTGTCTTCAGCATTGCACACAATACACAAAAAGCCTTTTGCCCCTACCTTGCGATTTTTGAAGCGGCTCATTAGGTCCCCAAGTTTCAAAGAACTACTATAGAAGCAGCAATGGTTGCAGCTGTGGGCTTGCGCTTGGCAGCCTTGCTTTGCGTCCTATGGGTCCAATCCGCCACTGCCGGATGGAGCAAAGGCGGCAAGGGCAATTGGGGCTCAAAGGACTGGCATGGTGGCCGGTGCGGCCATCGCAAGCACCAGTGGCAGGGACAAGTGAACTCTCAGTCTGGCATCGAAACGGGGCTCGCAATCGCTCAGTTCTTGGATGAAAAAAAGCGCCGGAAGTCTCGTCGCAGAGATTCGTCTTCCGACTCCTCAGCTGGTTCCTCACCGCAGCATCGGCGCAAGGACCGAAAAAAGCAACCTGCAAAGGGAAAAGTCAACCAAGAGCTGGAAGAACTCCGGGCATTCCGTGATGCTGCCATGAAAGAGAAAGCAGAAGCTGAACAAGCCAAAAAACTGATGGAACTCGAACAGAAGCTGCGAGCTGAGCTTCTGGCTGTGGCAACTCCACAAGCTGTGAAGCCAGACAGTGCTCGTGCCATTTCGCAAGTCAAGTTATCAGGACTCCAGGAGAAGCTTGCCCAGAAGGTTCTGACTGACCACGTGGATGAGTCTGCCTTTGAATCTTGGGACGTTTTGTCCCGTGCCGTCCAAGATTGTGAAAGCCGAGTATTGGGCACCATTTTGAAGGATGAGTCGTTGGCAACACCTCGGTCCCACAAAGATCGTGCTAGCGCAGTGCTCCATCACCTGCAAGATGTTCTGGAAATTGAGAATTGAGTGCGGGCGGCTGACATTCCTTTTCCAGTGAGTGGGTTTCCCCACCCAGCACGACATTTGGGAGGAACTTGTCTTGTGATTTGCTGTTTGATCATTTGGATTTGCATACCGTCAGCAGCCAACCCAGTTGCTGTAATGTGGCCTTGGCCCCTGCAGTCTGCCAAAGAATATTGGCAGGCGATGAATGTGTTGGCTAGAGATGATTTGGGATTTGGTTTTGTGCTTGACAAAACTTTTGGCATTCCTTTAAAACCTGTGGCCTGCACAGCCTTGGCATTCACGTATTCTGGTTTGGCTTCGGCCGTTGGCAGATTTGTGCATCTTCAGACCAGCATTTCGAACTCGTAATTTGGCTGGTTTCAGCTTCCTTCAATTCGAAATTTATGAAATCAACATTCAATTATCAATTGATCATCGCATTTGTGCTTCCGAGCCTGCACGTGTGATTTCGTGGCTTCCATTGCCTTGTTTGATTTGTGTTGTTGCTCAAAGCACCTAGGTCCAGATTTTTCTGGACGGGAGAAGCATGCAAGCAGGCGGTGTCTCACAAAAAACCTCCTGACCGCCCTAGGTGCAGTTAAAAGTGTAGAGCGGCCGTGACGTGTCCTCTCCTGTTCATGGCTATTTGATCTTCTAATTAAAAGTGCCATGTTTTGAGGATAAGTTCCCCATGTTCCGACAGATCCAGTCATGGTCAAAACCAGATTTCGGCCAGGATCGAATGAAGCTGGACGAATTCGAGAGACGGTTGGAACCATGGCAAAATGTAGTACCATATGAAATACTAGGATCCACTACAATCTGGATCAATATGGTATACCTGGCTGGGGTTTTCACACACACACATATATATATATATCTAGACATTAAAAACATATATATTATATGTATATATATATATATATATCTGTGTCTCTCTCTCTCTCTCTCTCCCCCTCTTTCTTTCTCTTTCTCTTTTTTGCATACATGGACAATATGGATAGGTATTTGATTCTAATTCCAAAGCAAAGGGGCATGATGACTATCCCGGGCGTTTGAAACCTCCAAGCAGATTCCCTCCGCAGTTGAAATCAGATTCATTGGGGGATGTATACTGGGTCAATCTTTTGTGGATACTTTATGGTACTCTTAATATGTTCACCGCTTGGTAAACTATTGAGACGCCTTTACCAATAAAGGTTGTCGTTTTTTAGAATCGCTCTTAATAAGCGTGTATAATTGAGATGGTCACCGGGGGTGCTTAAACCCTTTTGCTGTTTCTGAAAACAGGTTTGCAGACTAACCAGCTAAAACAAGAATGCGGGGCATCTAAGATTGGCCATATATGATAAGGGCACTTGTTTGGCTTCTAAAAACCGGACCAACAGATATCATAGGTGATTCCAGCTCCAAATTTGGGATTAAACGCGCACAAATGATCATGTTTAAAATTTGACTAATTGATTTAGCGCCGCCATATTTAGCATTTCCGAACATGATTTTGCAACATTTCGTTTTTTTTGCCGGAATTGACCAAAAAAACACGAGCATTTAGCGTCATCTAGCCAACGAAGAGTTGGAGAATGACCATGTTTGGCAAGAAACACTTGGTTTGTCAACGTGGAGATGCCAACCTGGATCGCCTCCATGGGGTTTACACTTGACCGAGGAAAGCAACATGACCGAGGTTGCAGGCCAGGTTGGGTATGGTTGGGTGCCAGGGAGTTGACGAAATCTACCTGGTGTTTACACTTGGTGTGTTGAAATCCAGCTGGACACATCAGTTTTAATATGTTTTAACATTTAAAATATGTGTCATAAATGACCATAGTTGATGATTTTAAATGATTTTAAAATATGTCAATCCACAAATATGTTTTTTTTTAATATGGATTGACCATAGTTGATGATATCAATCCCTTGATTTACTGCATTGAAAGCCAAAGTTGATGAAAATGTCTTGCATTTTTAGTCTGGATATCAAATGAGTCCACATCGCCAGCATCCTGTTGTGACAAGCGACAGCCCGAGCAACAAGAAAACCTTTTTGAAAAATATCGTTTTGAACCCCTCAGGTCAAATGTGGTACCCTCTGGTAAACTACCAAAGCTGTAGAAAATCACCATCCTTAATAGGTAAATCAACTATAAAGGTGCCATTTTCAACAGCTATTTAACAGCACGGTTGTTTATCCATCTCCCTTGTGATCCCCCCCGTGCTTTCAAGATGATGCCTTGGCCAGGCGCTGTACGGAATAGCCTCAGTAACAGCACAAACACACTCTACAAAAAGCGCCTTGGCTCGGGCCACGGCCATGGGGAAGATGATGCCATGCTCAAGATATCTTAAGATTTCTGGTTGGTGGTTTCAAACATTTTTCCCATTTTTCCCATCATATTGGGAATGGAATAATCATCCCAACTGACGATTCGTCCATCATTTTTCAGAGGGGTTAGCAGCAACCATGGTCAACCACCAACCAGACGTCGTGGGATGTGGGGACGGCGCCTCGTTGCGGATGGATTGGCCCTGGTAATTTAGCAGATTGCCGGCTGAAAAACACCATGTTTATCAATTTTTATATAGGAGTTGAATAATCCATCATTTGGGCAAATTGTCCATAGCTATGGAAGTTGTCAGAGGATATCTCTAGAGCTTCTACACCCGTCATTAGGCCCCTTCCATTAGATAGCTGTGTAGCTGCAGGTGAACTATAGCGACCTCATCACGCCCTCAATATAGATGATGATTCGTAAGGAAAACCAGACCGGAAATGGGTCGAATTTTGGAAGATGATTCCCTGAATCCATACCCTTGAGGTGGATAAGGATTAGAATTAATCCAACGCATGCTGGGTTAGTTGTCACTTCTTTCAAGCATGTTCATTTGCATTTGTGATTCAAAATCATGATGATTACACAATCTCTCACGAAAAATGTTTTAAGATTTATACCTTTCCCAAAATGAACAGACCCCGAAAAATGTTTTTTAGTGGAAACTGAGCTTCCAAACCCTCATGGAAGCGTCTATGTTCCTTTGGGGTTGTACATCCATTCATGTTCTCAATCCTAACATTTCCCCAAATGAACATTCAATATCCTCAGCTGTACCATCCCTGAAACAATGGAATTTGATATTCAGCAATAGTTGGAAATGGAATCTTGAAGTGATAATACCAAATTCTGATATTTGATATTTGATATTCAGGGCAGAGATGGATGTAATTCTGACAATTAATGTTTGATTATATATTTATATATATCCACTATCAGATCTATCAGATACAGGATGTTGCCCCACAGTTATAAGTTAGTAGTTTTTCAACCCCATTTTCAGATCCATTGGCTAGTTCGTTATATCTACCATTAAAACCATCGTTTTTTTCAGCCACCTTTTCTGTTCGGCAACGGTGTTTTCGCGTTCCCAGGAGGGGCACCCTGGTCAACGCCGCTGACGTCGGGGAAGCCCAGACGACAAAAAGGGATTCCGATGGGATTCCCAGATTTCTGGCCGCCCTTTGGAGTATTGAGATATACCCGGCCTGGTAAACATACAAAGAACTATGGAAAATCACCATGTTCAATGGGAAAATCCACGAACTAAATCACCATTTTCAATAGCTATGTAACAAATTACCAGAGGGTATAGCAATTTGTTCGGGGTGAAACACTGAAAATGAATCTTGAGATATACCATTTCACTTCTATGATATGTTATTTGTGAATGTTTTTGTTGCTAGAGGTGGGTGGCTTTGAGATGAACCAGTGCCGCGGGTCTTGGATGACTTGGGGTGGTATCATGACTTGGGAAACCTCCATAGATGATATAAGTTTGCATTTTCTGATGCACTATTATGGCACTATTGTGAATGCATTTTTTTAGATTTGTGATGTTGTGTGTGCAGGATAAGACCCAAAGGGTGGTATCTTGGGGCGACGTCCCGAGGTCTTAGACGCAATGGGCGATGACGACGCAGTGGAGGAGTTGTTCAAGACAGATCCTCTACAAGAAGGACTGGCGTTGCCGCCACTTGAGCGACGAGAGCCAGTTGCTGTATGATATATATATATATAAATGTCCTTAGCTGAGCCGTTCTAAAATGGGAAAAAACCTAATTAGTTGTCTGGTTGGTGGTTTGGAACGTTTTTTTCATAATATATGGGATAATCCTTCCCATTCACTAATATTTTTCAAGATGGTTAAAACCACCAACCAGTTGTTCACATAGAGACATGCATGGATGGATGGATGGATGGATGAATGGATGAATGGAGATGACCTTTTTCTGAGTTGTTTTCAGTCGTCTCTTTGCCCAACTAACCAACTAACCAATCAAGAGTTTGACAGTTTATTTTGGGGTTCAGTTCAATGATGCTAATGCTCTGATTTGACTGCAATGATCAGATAAAAAGGAAAGTCATAGTAATATCTTACATCATCTAGTTGGAACCGTGCTTTTCGATATAGGAAAATCGTCTTCCAAGTTTCTGTATCTTGGTGGTTGCATGTCATCCTGCATCGTTTTTTATTCCAGTATTCCCGTGGGGGTGTCCATAAATGGGAATATACCCCTTTATCGATGGATGGTTTTTAGATTGGAAAATCCCAATCTAAAACAATGTCAACCCCGGATCAATATACAATGGTTTATTAGTTAGGGGGGTATTCCCCCTATTTCGTCATGATTTGATAACTTTTTTTTTTGGGGTACCTTCCCAATTAAACAGCCTAGCCTTGGGGTTTATTAATCCAGGCTTGACATTTACCGATATTTCAGGAAACCTCCATGTTCCGAATGATCACAGGACTCCAGGAAGAAGAAGAGCCTGAAAAGCTGCCTCGGAGCCGTTGGGAGCGCTTGCAGGTGCCAAGTTGGGTTCGTTGGAGCCATAGAAATTGGGAATGTCATAGGCATTTTCTGGGGTACCCCTCTGGTAAACATACAAAGAACTATGGAAAATCACCATTTTTAATGGGAAAAATCACTATACATGGTGATTTTCCATAGTTATGTTAAATTACCAGAGGGTAATGGGACATGATATGAGATGGGTTCATGTTGGGAGTTTGTCCAGCATTTTCTAGCGTGGTTTTAAGCCCTTGACCTGGGGTTTGAAGCCACCTGCGAGGATGAGATACAAGCTGGGATATTTATATATATATATACCCTCTGGTGAACTAACATAGCTATTGAAAATGGCCATTTATAGTGGATTTTCCCATTAAAAATGGTGATTTTCCATAGCTATGTTAAATTACCAGAGGGTATAGCCAACAATATCCAGTTTCGTCTGGCTGAAAATTGGATATACCCGGCAAGTTATTGCCATTTCAATAGGAAAGATGATGAACAACCAGTTAAAGTTAGACCTCCCAACCCATCTTTCAGAACCATTTGGGGCAAGTCTTCTACTCACAGGCCGATCAAGGATGGTGTAAAGCTACCTGGTATTGTTTTGGATGGTTTTGGTTCAGCTTTGGGAATGATGATCATTGCCCAGATTGTTTTGGGGCTGGTGGGCCAGATTTTTTGGGGCCGAAGTGAGGCCGAAGCCAGGAGATCTAGATATGTTGGAGCGGAGATTTCACAAATGGACGTTTACCCTCTAGTAAGTTAACATAGACCCTGAAAATCACCAATTTTCCATGGAAACTAGTCTTCCAACCCCGATGACTGCCAGGGTCGAACTGTTAATTTACCAGAGGGTAAGATCTTTACCATCTGATTATTTAACATAGCCATGGAAAATCCCAACCATAAATGGAGGTTTATAGCTGGGAAAATCATCTAGAAATGGGCCATCTATACCATGGCTATGTTAAATAACCAGAGGGTAAACCAATCCACGTTTTTTTCATATCCACAATCCCCCTGAGTTGTTGGGGGTTTGAACCTTGCTACCCCGTTGTTGAGCGGTCACAAGATGTCAAGACAGTGGTTTCAACCGAAAAAATCCCAGGGAAGCGATTGACCAGAGCAAGCTTCAGTTAAACCCTGTACTTGAGGGTCAAAAAAAATGGTTTCCCGTAAATATCCTGATTGGTGGTTTGGAACATGTGGCTTTTATGACTTTCCATTCAGTTGGGAATGGAATAATTGAATATATAATCATCCCAACTGACGAAGTCCATCATTTTTCAGAGGGGTAGGTCAACCACCAACCAGTATCTGAATTTCCTTTGAACCAATTCATTGAGAATAACAAATCCCTGTCGGATCAGCACAGGAGTGGTTGCAATCCACTTCTTTCGACATGATGTCCGCGCCGCAGGGAGGGTGTCCTGAGTGTGGAAGTGCATGGAAGTACGGTCCGAAACATATTATCTTCCTGCAAACATCTGTAAACTAGCATGGACATGTTTTTTTTTGACAATCTACCATGTTCAAGATCATTTTCCCAGGAACACTCATGGTTTCAAGGCCAACCGCTGCCACCATTCTGAATGGCTGGCCCAATGTAAAAATTACATTAACAATTACATAGGTTTACAGCCCCTATATGCTGTACATACGTGTATATATATATATATAATGTTATTATAACATATTTATATATATATATAGTAAATTGTTCTTTTTTCAAATATATGTTAATATATATATAGATAGATAGATAGATAGCTTAGATATATTTATTTACATTGGATTCTACGAGACATGGATTGATGATTTTGCTTCGCTTAGGATCGCCGGGATGGTCTGTGTGAACGTCCTCTGGATGGCTTTGAAACTTCAAATCGATGGATCCATCCTGGGCTCGCAGTTCCTGGGCAACGCTTAACGGTGAAGTCATGGAATGCCTTACCGTTGTCATGGCTTAAAAGAAGGGAAAACAAGGAATGAACTTCATGTTTTCTGATGCTATTTTTCCATATCTTTTCACATTATCCTTTTTTTTTCGAAAATGATTTACTATAACGAGGATTTATACTTGTTATTGACTTGAAGTAAGTGGGCTTAATGATACTTGCCCTCCAGTACCCTCTGGTCATCTTACAATTTACGTAAAGATTTCCAGGGGTAATCCAAATGCAAATTGGCGCCAAGTCAGCACCCCAGAGAGCAACGTTAGAACAACAAGGGTGAGAACGGGGGCGATGTAGAAGCCAAGAAAAGTGGATTCATTTGTTGGTATGACAATGACGTGACAATGATTCAATCTGTTTTGAAACTTCTTTTGACATTTGCTTATTTGAATCAATGACATATAATGATTGATTTGGGTATTCATGTTTACCTGGAAATTTATCTTTCAGATTCAGATTCCTTGCGCATCTTTGAACCGTAGCCGGTTTTTTCTTAGGGTGTGTCTGCCATGATTGACCATCTCCATTGACACTGTTTTGGTGGCTTCCCAAAAAAGGGATCCCAACGTCCTCCGAAATTTGTCATGTCCAACGGAGAATCCAATGGCTTTTTTGGGGTCCCCTACTTAAAGAAGCCTTAATGTTAGAATCTGTTGGAAATAAAAAGTGGGATTTGAAAATCGAAAATACTAATTAGAACCCCTACTGAAGTTACTGAAGTAGATCTATACAGTCAACCACTTCGGTAAAATACCAGGATCTGAGTAAATAAATGGCGCTACAGTCATGGTGGACCCAATAGCTGAGCAGGAAAAGGGTCATCCATTTCCACTTCAATATCAGATTTCAGTGGTTCAATCTGTTAGTGTCAAGCCCGGATTAATAAACCCTGGTTGATGAATTGTGGTGGTTACCCCAAATAGTGATAAAGGGCTACTGAATTAATTCCAATATGTTAATTGAATCATTAATTCACCATTGGATATAAAAATATGTCACCATTGATTCACATGACAATGGATATTGGATCATTAATTCACCATTGTGTGACATATGATCCAATGCGAGACAAGTCACAGCTGGTGGCTCTGGTGGTCTTACTTGGTATATTCTGCGGTCTTGGCCATTGGATCTCTGAAAGGATCTCCGATTTTTTGTACAATGTGTTACAAGGTGAAGCCCCCAAGATAGGTAAGTTTCTGAGAATCACTAGTGGTTGGTGGTTTATTTAACATGTTTTATTTTCCATGTCATAGAAAAGGGATGTCATCCTTCCCATTGACTAACTCATAATAAGAGAACTGACTGACATTTGTGGCTGTCCAAGAGGCTACCCTCTGGTAATTTGTCACATAGCTATTGAAAATGACCATTGAAATAGTGGATTTTCCCATTGAACATGGTGGATCTTTCTATAGTTATGTAAACGTTTACCAGAGGCTAAATCCCATTCATATCCCATTGAATCACTATAAAATGCCATGAAATCATTGTAAATCCCATGATGTCCATGGTTTTTTCTATGTCTACCAGAGGCTAAGTAAAACTGAAATCCCATTAATCACTACAAAATGCCATGAAATCCCATGAAATCCCATGGAAAACCCCATGATTTTCCATAGTTCAAACTGACACGGAATTTTTGAGCCGCCAGGATGAACATCTATTCCGAGCCGCCTTTGACCTCGGAGGGCCGGGAGTGGTGGGTGGTGGTGACCCAGTGGGGAGACTCTCTTTTTACAGGCCGAGAACGGTGGGAACGGTGGCGCCGGGAGCGGTGGTGGGAATAGTTTGGGATTACCCGGCCTGGTAAATTTAATGGGATTTAATGGGATTTTCCATGGGATTTAATGGAATTTTATAGTGATTAATGGGATATGAATGGGATGATTAGATATGTTGGGATTTTCAGTGACAGAACTGGGGGATTTTTTCAGGGATTTTTGGGATGATACCCGGCCTGGTAAACGTTTACATAGCGAACTGGAAAGATCCACTATTTTATAGCTGGGTAAATCCACTATTTCGACTGGGCAAATTTCAATAGCTATGTAACAAATTACCAGAGGGTAGATAAGAACAAAGTGTAGCATCAAATGTGTCTCAAATTTATGCGTCACCGATGATCATTCTGCTTTGTCAATGTGTTCCCCCTTGAAAATGCTGCATGAGCATGCCGTTTTTTTTTTGGGGGGGGCTGGATGTTTCGATTGGTTTACCCTCTGGTAAACTAACATAGCTATTGAAAATTGCAATTTATAGTGGATTTACCCATTAAAAATAGTGATTTTCCATAGCTATGTTAGTTTAACAGAGGGTACGTCATCATTTCCTCCATGGCCAAAAATCCGGCGCAGGGCTCTTCATGCTGGATGTTGGTATTCGCATCATCGTCCTAAGGTGGAAGTCGGGACAGTTCTGGCTGCCTGGGACTGGCTGAATATGTTATGGTTAACCAGGTGATACCCCCGTTCGAGAACGCTAAGTTGGTGAACATAACTCCAATGACTATGGGTTATAGGTGATATATCTAAAGTCAATGGGCTTATAACCAATCTATAACTGGGGAGGGCACCACCTTGAACGTTCAATGATGTTGTTTGATAAAATGAACAATTTTAACGCAGTCCTGAGATGTCCTAAGCATGCTATGTTGACCATGGGCGATTGGACTCCCCAATGCTGTTCTTGTGTTTCTGTTTTTTATGTCACGAGATACGTGTATAGATATATTTACTGTTAATACTGTTAATTACCGTACATGCCATAATACACAGTCACATACATGCATAGCTGCACACATGAATATGCATAAATAAATAGACAAATAAATCAATCAATATACAAATAAATCAACATATCGGTGTGCGCGCATAAGTATAGAGAAAGAGAGATTCGCATTTTTGGTCACACTTGCTGACACTTGCCATATGCCCCCATCCTGGCTTTGGGGAGGCTGCAGTTTTGGAAGATTTGGGTGAACTATGTGGACGTGGCAGTGACCATCGTTTCCTTCATGGAGGCACAGTGCGCTGCGGATGGCTGAGGTGGAGTGTAGCATAGTAAGGCTATGTGTAGTTGTGTTCAAACTAGAGAATCTAGAGAGAAGCTAGGGGGGAAAACACGATTCAATCTAAGACCATCCAGATGATGGATGATGATTCTACAGGATTCTACTCTAATTTCTCAATCTTGCATGTCTGAGAGTTTCTCCACTGATGTGCTTTTAAAGGAGAGGGCCTCGGGTATCTCGGGTGCTATGCTATACCACGCCACATCTATCCAGAATGTTTCTGAAAAATGGGGGGTGAGCCCTTCAATTTTCATCAACCAGGGGAAAAAGGACGTCTGTGGTTAGGAAGCACAGGATGCCTGGGACGGGAGGACGTGTATCACTCGCTTCCAAAAAAAAACCTAAGAACGGATAATCCAAGAAATTTTTTGGGCTCATGGACAAGTGTTCTGATCCAGTACCTCACAGATCCCTCACGGATCCCTCCCTCAAGGCACCGACCCAAGCGCACCAAGGGATATCTGGGATGGTGAGACCCACAGCTCTGCCCTGAGTGGATAAGCCTCCGCTGATCATGGCAATGGAACATCCACCATTTTAATAAACTTATAGACTTATAGAATCTTAATGATGAATCTTATGCCCCATAGGATCCATGTATGCTATATATGGTAACATTTACCATACATGGATCCTATGGGTACATGATTGTCCCAGCTGTAAACTGTAAACCTCCTTCCCTAGTTTGGGGGTTTCCCAGCTTGCATTTTTCTAAAATTACCAGAGGGTAATCATTTACTAACACCCAAAAAAACGGATGATGAAGTGGGTGCATCTCTTGCCACTGAAGTTGTCATATGTTGTCATGATTTGGCTCCTATTCTATCACCATCTCCACTACCTATCTTAAGACCACATGAGGTACCAATGCTGACACCACATTGATCTTGTTAATACCAAGGCCCAAAAGATAGACGGCTCAAACCCGCTAGTTTACGGTAGTGGAATTAACTCTTTAAATATATACCGGCTGCCAGCACCACAGGGCTCACGTTTAATTATTAATCCCCCCTTCCGTTCTTGGATGTGCATCCCAGGATTGCTGGTTGGGTAAGAAGCATCCTAGCTGATGGATATATATGGCAATAATGTTCACATCGGGTTATTAATCCAGGCCACGAAAAAGAGACCCAATTTGAGGAAAAATAGCAGACAGTGAGTCTGGCAGCGCCGATGATCATGGTGTGAAGATTTCTATGAAGCATGTGGTGCAGGATGGCAAGAACAAACCCTGCATGCCGCAGACCATCACAAAAATGGATACGGTCTTTGCCAAGTGCAGCAAAATTGATCCTGGGTTCGTGTTCTTCTCGAAAAAAAACAGGCTCAGAACCAGCAAGAAGGGCAACGCGGCACCCGTATCTTGCAACCTTCCAGCTTTCAACGACCTGCTGCACAGTGTGATGTGTCAATCCAGAGCGCCCATGATGCGCTCGAGGAGGATGAAGACGTGCATAAACACCTCGACAATAAAGTATGCCAACCGTTTTTGGTGGTATGTTTGTCGTTGTTTGATGCATTGATGCATAGTTATTTTTGCTTTCTTGATCGCTTACATATAATATCATATAATTACTGAGTGGTTGTGAATTGGATATCTAAAGCCGCGATCTCAAATCTGTTCAAATTTAAACCTGAAAAAGTTTTCCATGAATACATATCTCAAACATGTATTCATTTTCAAGTAGGCAATTTGTTCGGCAATACTTCAATGCAAACATGTTCCATGCGTTTGTTTTCAAATGCATTTGTTTTCAATTATGCAACTCGTTCGGCAATACTAAGTGTCCGGGGTCACAAGAAGTATGCGTCAGGGCGCTCAGCATTTATACAGGATGTCAACGCTACATATACGGCCAGGCGCTGAGTGTTGCCCGGAAAGTTCACATGGCGTTTAAGCATTATCCTTCAACATGCTCAAACACCTGCGCAGGGCCAGTGCTTTGAGATTTCCCAGACGATGAGCCCTAAACCCCAAATCCTAAATCCTAAACCCAAAAACCCTAAAACATCCTAAAACCTAAAACCCTAAAATCTAAAACCCTAAACCCTAAAACCTAAACCCTGAAAACTTTGAATCCTAGACCAGAAAACTCTGTATATATGCAGTATTTTCTGCAAACTCTCCTATCTTATTTAACAACACTACATCCTCAATGTTAATGTCTGGGCAAAACACGGCGTTTGTGGGTAATGTTGCATAACTATATAGTAATAAAACACATATTACATAGTAGTATGAGATGTATCAGTATCTCTATGATATATATATATATATAAATGTATCTATCTATATATATATATATATCTCTCTCTCTATATCTATATCTATATCTATATCTATCCATATTGTCTATATATCTATCTATTTATTTAGGTAAATATTTCACACGATCCGCCATGAACAATGGGATCAATGGCCAGGTCCTGAGCTTTGCCGTGCCCGTGAAGGTGAACGCAGCCATCTTCCGGCTGCTGCGGATCGGCAAGTTGGCGCGCGCCATCCGCTCCTTGACGGCTGATGCTGGGAGGATGGGGGTTGAAGCCCAGAAATCATGGATGGAGAATGGTGGATGTATACAAAATGTTGGATTTTTGACGGTAAAATGGTGATTTAGAATTATAAAATCGGGTTTTTGTAGTTTGGAACATGGCTTTTATGACTTTCCCATTCAGTTGGGAATGGAATAATCATCCCAACTGACGAACTCCATCATTTTTCAGAGGGGTTGGTCAACCACCAACCAGAAAAATTCTGCTTATCTAAAAGATTGATGCACCTATTGAATCCCATATAAAAACATATAGTAGGTGTTGGACGGGTTTTCTCGTTATTTTCTCGCTTGTTGGAAGCACCTTAGGACCTTTCACGATTCCAACCGATCATGGTCCCATTTTCGTAACGTCCATGCAGGATGGGTCCCCACAATTATAAGTTGGTTTATAAACCATTATAACCCCAATCAACTTCTTCGTTATATCTACCACAAACCATAGTTTTTTCAGCCACTTATAAGGCAACTGAACGCTATCGACTGGGGGCCCCATCCTGTGGAGATTGGTCATCCCGAGGTATGTTGCCTGTGACCAATGCTTTGGGTTCGCTACAATTGTTGGTCAAGGGCCTTGTGGCCAGTAGGTGGGCGGTGGGTGCCGCTTGCGTGGGCTTCCTATTGGTTTCCTTCAATGGGATGCGAATGGATTGGGAACTGATGGTTACTATATTGGTATCCGGCGATTGAAGCAACAACCATGGTGATTTTTTATGGGATCTTAAATGGGATTATGATTCCATAGGTGATTTTAGGAAGAAAACATGGTAGTGAACCAATTGTATCCAATGACTATGTATGGCAAACCAATAAGATCGAAATTGAAGCAACACACTTTGGGATTTCAGCAACAAACAATGGGGATGTAGTAACTGAACAATGAAGATTTGACAACACTCGTAGCGATTTGAGCAAACCAAATGGGGTGCCAGGTGCTCTTGGAGTCACAGCTGGCCGCTTCACAGGGGGAATAACCCATTCTCACTTTGTGTTTGGGGTTATGGAAGGACATGTTATGACTATCTCAAAACCAGGTTTTTTTTTAATCCTTGACTTACTGTGGATGAATCAGCCCCTTAAAAGGTGATCCAGAAAAAACTATTCCGCTAGACATCAGAATTTATACACCAAGTTTTTCGCCTACGGGATCAGAACCTTCCTGAGGGACCTATTTTCCGTTGCAGCGATTCATATTGCACTATATATATATATAATATATATATATATATATTTAAGGGCTGCCGCCCCCTGCCGCCGACCCCTGGCATCTCCTGAACAAGGAGAGCCCTGAACAAGGGCCGGTCGGGCGCTCAGCAAACAGTACGTAGTCTCCTGAACAAGGAGAACCCCGAACAGGGGTTAGTTTTTTCGATCCATGTGTAGAGTGTGGAGTGTAAAATGTGGAGTATGAAGTGTGGAGTGTAGAGTGTGAGTGCGGAGAGTGTCAAGTGTAGACTGTGAGACTGAAGTGTGGAGTGTGGAGTGTAGAGTGTGGAGTGTGGAGTACAAGTACCGAGTGTAGAGTGGAAAGTGTGGAGTGGAAAGTGTGGAGTGTAAAGGGCGGAGTGTAAAGTGTAGAGCGGAAAATGTGGAGTGTAAAAGGGGGTGTACAGTGTCAAGTGTGGAGTGCAAAGTGTAGAGTGTGGAGTCTAAAGTGTAGAGTGTAAAGTGTGGAGTGTAAAGTGCGGAGTGTAATGTTGAGTGTGGAGTCTAAAGTGGGGAGTGTGGAGTGTAGAGTGTAAAGTGTGGAGTGTAAAGTGTAGAGTGTGGAGTCGAAAGTTGGGAGTGTGAAGTGCAGGGTGTGGAGTGTCAAGTGTAGAGCGCAAAGCGTGGAGTGCAAACTTTGGAGTGTACAGCGTGGAGTGGAAAGTGTGGAGTCGAAAGTGTGGAGTGTAGAGTGTGGAGGGTGGAGTACAAAGCGTGGAGTGCCGGGCTAGTGCCTAACGTTGCTTTCTGAAGCCACTAGAAAAGACTGGAAAAGCTGGAGCACAGGCCCGGCAGCTGGCCACAAAGCGCCCGCCAAGGCGCTGCGGAGGGAAGCCGGGCTAGTGCCTAACGTTGCTGTCTGAAGCCACTAGAAAAGACTGGAAAAGCTGGAGCACAGGCCCGGCAGCTGGCCACAAAGCGCCCGCCAAGGCGCTGCGCAGGGTTTGAGGCGGGGCTGGTGCCTAACGTTGCTTTCGGAAGCCACTAGAAAAGACTCGAAAAGCTGGAGCACAGGCCCGGCAGCTGGCCACAAAGCGCCCGCCAAGGCGCGGCGGAGGGTTTGAAGCCAGGCTAGTGCCTAACGTTGCTTTCTGAAGCCACTCGAAAAGATGGAAAAGCTCGAGCACAGGCCCGGCAGCTGGCCACGAAGCGCCCGCCAAGGCGCTGCGCAGGGCTTGAAGCCAGGCTAGTGCCTAACGTTGCTTTCTGAAGCCACTAGAAAAGCTGGAAAAGCTGGAGCACAGGCCCGGCAGCTGGCCACGAAGCGCCCGCCAAGGCGCTGCGGAGGGTTTGAGGCCGGGCTAGTGCCTAACGTTGCTTTCTGAAGCCACTAGAAAAGACTTGGAAAAGCTGGAGCACAGGCCCGGCAGCTGGCCACAAAGCGCCCGCCAAGGCGCTGCGGAGGGTTTGAGGCCGGGCGAGTGCCTAACGTTGCTTTCTGAAGCCACTAGAAAAGACTAGAAAAGCTGGAGCACAGGCCCGGCAGCTGGCCACAAAGCGCCCGCCAAGGCGCGGCGGAGTGTTTGAAGCCAGGCTAGTGCCTAACGTTGCTTTCTCAAGCCACTAGAAAAGACTGGAAAAGCTGGAGCACAGGCCCGGCAGCTGGCCACAAAGCGCCCGCCAAGGCGCTGCGGAGGGTTTGGGGCCGGGCTAGTGCCTAACGTTGCTTTCTGAAGCCACTAGAAAAGACTAGAAAAGTTGGAAAAGCTGGCGCACAGGCCCGGCAGCTGGCCACGAAGCGCCCGCCAAGGCGCTGCGGAGGGTTTGACGCCAGGCTAGTGCCTAACGTTGCTTTCTGAAGCCACTAGAAAAGATTAGAAAAGCTGGAGCACAGGCCCGGCAGCTGGCCACGAAGCGCCCGCCAAGGCGCTGCGGAGGGTTTGAGGCCGGGCTAGTGCCTAACGTTGCTTTCTGAAGCCACTAGAAAAGACTTGGAAAAGCTGGAGCACAGGCCCGGCAGCTGGCCACAAAGCGCCCGCCAAGGCGCTGCGGAGGGTTTGAGGCCGGGCTAGTGCCTAACGTTGCTTTCTGAAGCCACTACAAAAGACTGGAAAAGCTGGAGCACAGGCCCAGCAGCTGGCCACAAAGCGGCCGCCAAGGCGCTGCGGAGGGTTTGAGGCCAGGCTAGTGCCTAACGTTGCTTTCTGCAGCCACTAGAAAAGACTGGAAAAGCTGGAGCACAGGCCCGGCAGCTGGCCACGAAGCGCCCGCCAAGCCTAACGTTGCTTTCTGAAGCCACTAGAAAAGCTGGAAAAGCTGGAGCACAGGCCCGGCAGCTGGCCACGAAGCGCCCGCCAAGGCGCTGCGGAGGGTTTGAAGCCAGGCTAGTGCCGAACGTTGCTTTCTGAAGCCACTAGAAAAGACTGGAAAAGCTGGAGCACAGGCCCGGCAGCTGGCCACGAAGCGCCCGCCAAGGCGCTGCGGAGGGTTTGACGCCGGGCTAGTGCCTAACGTTGCTTTCTGAAGCCACGAGAAAAGATTGGAAAAGCTGGAGCACAGGCGCGGCAGCTGGCCACGAAGCGCCCGCCAAGGCGCTGCGGAGGGTTTGAGGCCGGGCTAGTGCAGGCCCGGCAGCTGGAAGCGCCCGCCAAGGGGCTGCGAGGGTTTGAGGCCGGGCTAGTGCCTAACGTTGCTTTCTGAAGCCACTAGAAAAGATTAGAAAAGCTGGAGCACAGGCCCGGCAGCTGGCTACGAAGCGCCCGCCAAGGCGCTGCGGAGGGTTTGAAGGCGGGCTAGTGCCTAACGTTGCTTTCTGAAGCCACTAAAAAAGATTGGAAAAGCTGGAGCACAGGCCCGGCAGCTGGCCACGAAGCGCCCGCCAAGGCGCTGCGGAGGGTTTGAAGCCGGGCAAGTGCCTAACGTTGCTTTCTGAATCCACTAGAAAAGACTAGAAAAGCTGGAGCACAGGTCCGGCAGCTGGCCACAAAGCGCCCGCCAAGGCGCGGCGGAGGGTTTGAAGCCAGGCTAGTGCCTAACGTTGCTTTCTGAAGCCACTAGAAAAGACGGGAAAAGCTGGAGCACAGGCCCGGCAGCTGGCCACGAAGCGCCCGAAGGCGCTGCGGAGGGTTTGAGGCCGGGCTAGTGCCTAACGTTGCTTTCTGAAGCCACTAGAAAAGACTGGAAAAGCTGGAGCACAGGCCCGGCAGCTGGCCACAAAGCGCCCGCCAAGGCGCTGCGAAGGGTTTGAGGCCGGGCTAGTGCCTAACGTTGCTTTCTGAAGCCACTAGAAAAGACTGGAAAAGCTGGAGCACAGGCCCAGCAGCTGGCCACAAAGCGCCCGCCACGGCGCTGCGGAGGGAAGCCGGGCTAGTGCCTAACGTTGCTTTCTGCAGCCACTAGAAAAGATTGGAAAAGCTCGAGCAGAGGCCCGGCAGCTGGCCACAAAGCGCCCGCCCAGGCGCTGCGGAGGGTTTGAGGCCGGGCTAGTGCCTAACGTTGCTTTCTGAAGCTACTAGAAAAGACTGGAAAAGCTGGAGCACAGGCCCGGCAGCTGGCCACAAAGCGCCCGCCAAGGCGCTGCGGAGGGTTTGGAGCCAGGCTAGTGCCTAACGTTGCTTTCTGAAGCCACTAGAAAAAATGGAAAAGCTCGAGCAGAGGCCCGGCAGCTGGCGCTGCGCAGGGCTTGAAGCCAGGCTAGTTTCTAACGTTGCTTTCTGAAGCCACTAGAAAAGACTGGAAAAGCTGGAGCACAGGCCCGGCAGCTGGCCACGAAGCGCCCGCCAAGGCGCTGCGGAGGGTTTGAAGCCGGGCTAGTGCCTAACGTTGCTTTCTGAAGCCACTAGAAAAGACTGGAAAAGCTGGAGCACAGGCCCGGCAGCTGGCCACAAAGCGCCCGCCAAGGCGCTGCGGAGGGTTGGAGGCCGGGCGAGTGCCTAACGTTGCTTTCTGAAGCCACTAGAAAAGACTGGAAAAGCTGGAGCACAGGCCCGGCAGCTGGCCACAAAGCGCCCGCCAAGGCGCGGCGGAGTGTTTGCAGCCAGGCTAGTGCCTAACGTTGCTTTCTCAAGCCACTAGAAAAGACTGGAAAAGCTGGAGCACAGGCCCGGCAGCTGGCCACAAAGCGCCCGCCAAGGCGCTGCGGAGGGTTTGGGGCCGGGCTAGTGCCTAACGTTGCTTTCTGAAGCCACTAGAAAGGACTAGAAAAGTTGGAAAAGCTGGAGCACAGGCCCGGCAGCTGGCCACGAAGCGCCCGCCAAGGCGCTGCGGAGGGTTTGAAGCCGGGCTAGTGCCTAACGTTGCTTTCTGAAGCCACTAGACTGATTAGAAAAGCTGGAGTACAGGCCCGGCAGCTGGCCACGAAGCGCCCGCCAAGGCGCTGCGGAGGGTTTGAGGCCGGGCTAGTGCCTAACGTTGCTTTCTGAAGCCACTAGAAAAGCTGGAAAAGCTGGAGCACAGGCCCGGCAGCTGGCCACGAAGCGCCCGCCAAGGCGCTGCGGAGGGTTTGAAGCCAGGCTAGCGCCGAACGTTGCTTTCTGAAGCCACTAGAAAAGACTGGAAAAGCTGGAGCACAGGCCCGGCAGCTGGCCACGAAGCGCCCGCCAAGGCGCTGCGGAGGGTTTGACGCCGGGCTAGTGCCTAACGTTGCTTTCTGAAGCCACTGGAAAAGCTGGAGCACAGGCGCGGCAGCTGGCCACGAAGCGCCCGCCAAGGCGCTGCGGAGGGTTTGACGCCGGGCTAGTGCCTAACGTTGCTTTCTGAAGCCACTAGAAAAGACTGGAAAAGCTGGAGCACAGGCCCAGCAGCTGGCCACAAAGCGCCCGCCAAGGCGCTGCGGAGGGTTTGAGGCCAGGCTAGTGCCTAACGTTGCTTTCTGCAGCCACTAGAAAAGACTAGAAAAGGTGGAGCACAGGCCCGGCAGCTGGCCACGAAGCGCCCGCCAAGGCGCTGCGGAGGGTTTGAGGCCGGGCAAGTGCCTAACGTTGCTTTCTGAAGCCACTAGAAAAGACTAGAAAAGCTGGAAAAGCTGGAGCACAGGCCCGGCAGCTGGCCACGAAGCGCCCGCCAAGGCGCTGCGGAGGGTTTGAAGCCGGGCTAGTGCCTAACGTTGCTTTCTGAAGCCACTAGAAAAGACTGGAAAAGCTGGAGCACAGGCCCGGCAGCTGGCCACAAAGCGCCCGCCAAGGCGCTGCGAAGGGTTTGAGGCCGAGCTAGTGCCTAACGTTGCTTTCTGAAGCCACTAGAAAAGACTGGAAAAGCTGGAGCACAGGCCCAGCAGCTGGCCACAAAGCGCCCGCCACGGCGCTGCGGAGGGTTTGAGGCCGGGCTAGTGCCTAACGTTGCTTTCTGCAGCCACTAGAAAAGATTGGAAAAGCTCGAGCAGAGGCCCGGCAGCTGGCCACAAAGCGCCCGCCCAGGCGCTGCGGAGGGTTTGAAGCCAGGCTAGTGCCTAACGTTGCTTTCTGAAGCTACTAGAAAAGAGTGGAAAAGCTGGAGCACAGGCCCGGCAGCTGGCCACAAAGCGCCCGCCCAGGCGCTGCGGAGGGTTTGAAACCAGGCTAGTGCCTAACGTTGCTTTGTGACGCCACTAGAAAAGATTGGAAAAGCTCGAGCAGAGGCCCGGCAGCTGGCCACAAAGCGCCCGCCCAGGCGCTGCGGAGGGTTTGAAGCCAGGCTAGTGCCTAACGTTGCTTTCTGAAGCCACTAGAAAAGACTGGAAAAGCTGGAGCACAGGCCCGGCAGCTGGCCACAAAGCGCCCACCAGGCGCTGCGGAGGGTTTGAAGCCAGGCTAGTGCCTAACGTTGCTTTCTGAAGCCACTAGACTGGAAAAGCTGGAGCACAGGCCCGGCAGCTGGCCACGAAGCGCCCGCCAAGGCGCTGCGGAGGGTTTGAAGCCAGGCTAGTGCCTAACGTTGCGTTCTGAAGCTACTAGAAAAGACTGGAAAAGCTGGAGCACAGGCCCGGCAGCTGGCCACGAAGCGCCCGCCCAGGCGCTGCGGAGGGTTTGAAGCCAGGCTAGTGTCTAACGCTGCTTTCTGAAGCCACTAGAAAAGACTGGAAAAGCTCGAGCACAGGCCCGGCAGCTGGCCACAAAGCGCCCACCAAGGCGCTGCGGAGGGTTTGAAGCCAGGCTAGTGCCTAACGTTGCTTTCTGAAGCCACTAGAAAAGACTGGAAAAGCTGGAGCACAGGCCCGGCAGCTGGCCACGAAGCGCCCGCCAAGGCGCTGCGGAGGGTTTGAAGCCAGGCTACTGCCTAACGTTGCGTTCTGAAGTGACTCGAAAAGACTGGCAAAGCTGGAGCACAGGCCCGGCAGCTGGCCACGAAGCGCCCGCCCAGGCGCTGCGGAGGGTTTGAAGCCAGGCTAGTGCCTAACGCTGCTTTCTGAAGCCACTAGAAAAGACTGGAAAAGCTCGAGCACAGGCCCGGCAGCTGGCCACAAAGCGCCCACCAAGGCGCTGCGGAGGGTTTGAAGCCAGGCTAGTGCCTAACGTTGCTTTCTGAAGCCACTAGAAAAGATGGAAAAGCTCGAGCACAGGCCCGGCAGCTGGCCACGAAGCGCCCGCCAAGGCGCTGCGCAGGGCTTGAAGCCAGGCTAGTGCCTAACGTTGCTTTCTGAAGCTACTAGAAAAGTCGAAAAGTCTGGTCAAAGGCCCGGCAGATGGCCACAAAGCGCCGGCCAAGAGGCAGGCGAGTGCCTAACGTTGCTTTCTGAAGCCACTAGAAAAGTTGTGTGCAAAGGCCCGCAGTACTGGGCAAAGGCCCGGCAGATGGCCAAAAGCGCCGGCAAAGGCGCTGCGGAGCGTTTGAGGGCAGGCTACAACTTTTTCTCGGGCGCGCTCCCCCTGCCGTTTGCTGGGGTCGGCGGATATATATATATATATACCCTCTGGTAATTTGTCACATAGCTATTGAAAATGGTGATTTATAGTTGATTTTCCCATTAATAATGGCCATTTTCCAGTTCGCTATGTTAAATTACCAGAGGGTATATATGTATGTATATGTATGTATGTATGTTTGTTCATTTTCGGGATAGGTCCGAAAGACACAGGAGGCCCCAGCTGTTCAGCTGAAAAATTCTTGCCATGGGGATTCCCTAAGCCAAAGGAAAAACACCCTGGCAGAGTACCAAAGACTGGCCACCGAACTACAGAAACCTTGGTACCCTCTGGTAATTTGTAACATAGCGAACTGGAAAATCACCATTTTTAATAGGTAAACCATCTATAAGTATCTATAACTGGGCCATTTTCCATAGCCATGTTAGTTTACCAGAGGGTATTCTGATTCATTTTTGAGCATGTGAAATCCAGGGCTGATGGTTTTCACCCATGTTTTTTCAAGTAAACATGGCAGAAAACTTCCATAGTCAACCAACCAAGTGAAATCCACTATCTTAGCAGGTGCATCCACATTGTCGTTGGCAAATCACCTGCTTGCATAAGCTTTTTTTTTCCCATGGATCAATGCCACAGCTTTGCGAAACATTTGGTGCACCAGGGGAATGCTCTTCTGGAGTTTTTGCTTGTTGACCTTCCTACAATGCGTTGCTGGCATGGTCATCAGCACCCTTTGCCCGGCAGCCCAGGAAATTGCTCAACCAAGGAGACATCCCGAAAACAAGCATGGACGGCAGACATCCTCAAGAAAATACAGCATGTTTGGCAATGTTGAATCAATTCCTCTTCCAAAGCCATGTTTTTTGTCCAACTTTTCAGACAAGTCTCTTCCAAACCCAGGTTTTTCCGATTCTTGCAATTACAATGTGAGGCCCCCGTTCGATACTGTAGCTAAGTTGGTGCACATAACTCCAATTTCACTATGGTTTATGGTACGCAAATAACGAACTAGTTACTGGGGCGAATCTAAACCAACCACCGTTCACATCACTGGGGGGCACCACATTGTATGGCCCTCATTTCCACTTCCAAATGGGATGAGAATCTAACTCCCGCAAGTAAAGTTATAAGCCAGTTATAACATGAAATCCGGAAAGTGATCAATTGTTATCATGAAATAAACCACTTATAACATGTCAAGATCTGTTAAGAGATTTTTTTTCAGAGCCGTAACTGTGGATTCCAAAGCCACAGGATGAGCACCCCGTTATAAGTTGGTTTACAAAATTGTATAAACCGTTCTAACCACCATTAACATCCATTAACTATAGTTATATCATGTCATATCTACCATAAACCATGGTTTTTCATGTTTTTTTTCAATTTTTTCCAGGTTTTCTACCATAAACCCCGGTTTTTTTCCCATGTCGGGGTGTCCCAGCTGAGCTGCTGAGCTGCTGAGTTCAGGTCGCGACTACCTCCTGGAGCGGATCAGTGATGCGCCCAACTCCCAGGCTGTACAGGATGTGTCCCTCGGCGTCCCGGGAAAATGGGCATATTGGGACATGTGTGATACATATCAATACATATTAAAACATATTATATATATATATATATTATTTGTGTGTCATATATATATATGTATTCATCACATGTATATATCTATACCATATCTATATATATATATATCATTTATGTATAATTGATTATTAGTGATTCTTGTCGATTCTTTTTGATTCTTATGAATGATCATGGTTTTCTATTTTCGACACATAAATATGCATATCACATATTGAGCAATATTATACTTGGATTTGTCTGAAAATGAAGCACCCAGCATGTATGCCGCATGCCAATTTGACAAGGAACATGCAGTGGACGGAAAGGTGTGCCCTCTTGTCATACCATGTCATACCCATATGCTTGGCTTAATTATGGCGACCCCCAGTTGGTGAAACATGAAACAACTCGTGTGCCCATCTATATCTCTATATATATAGCATGTTTTCTTACTCATTGCATTCACATATTGTTTGTTGTTTTTTGGAGATTTCAACAGGTATATGTACATGTGCACAAAAATATTTTCCTGGAGAGCTTCCAATCTTTATGCATTTATATTTACATGTATCAGATTGTATCAGCATATATATGTTTTAGATATATTTACATATGATATATGTATAAGCAATTCTGACCTGATGATGTATACATGTTGATATCCGCATTTCCACTGGTGTTGAACGAGAAAGACTTAACACTGATTTAACTTGCCATCACCAAACAGAATCAAGATCGAGTTTAAGTAAGTACTGAAGTGATGATGATGATGATGACGACGATGATGACGATGATGACGATGATGATGATCATGATTTAAGTACTCAAGGCTTAATATCACCCATCATGAAGTCTATGTATTATGTTGTTGCACAGTCTTTATGCATGTATACATACTTTTCACCTTATAGATTGTGTTGCATTGGCTCAAGAAACATGCTTTGCAGGGTGTACTAGGTTTGTGGCTTATCCCGGTTTCTAGCTTGTTTCTACAGGTTATCAGCCGTATCGCCAAGCGATCGCTGGTTTCCTTTGTTTCACACTTGTCGTTCTTTCTCCGTAGTTTGCGCTATGTCCACTCCCCCTGCGCTTCCTGCCCCGGGCGGGAACGCCTCGGCTGCATTGGCTTTGGCGACAACTACACAACCGGAGGAAGTGGTAATCCATTCAGGCGCGGCAACAACTGAAGGTGACATGAGTTACCTGGATGAAGAGTTTGACCCATGCCGTCAAGATCCACGCAGGAATATGCCAGGTGTTTTGGATTCAAACATTGACATCAGCCAACTCAACACCATCAACTTTAACAGTGTTGATCAGCGTACCGCCCACGTGGCAGTGGTACAACAAGGCATTGATCCAAACCTGGCGAACCAGCTCATGGCTGCTCAACAGCAGGCATTGCAGAGTGAGGCGAATGTACGTCACTCTGAGGTCATGGAGCGTCAACGTATGGAGCTTGTGAGTGAAGCTCGAGATCAACTTGCAAGCGTCGAACAACAAGCAGCCGAAGAAATTTCCAGGAGAAACCTTTTGTTGAACGAGCAGGCCGCCCAGGCGATGAGTGAGCATAAATCTGCTCAACTGCAGGTCACAGCGCAGGATCATCGCATCAGGGAACTGAGTGCCGAATTGACCCACGTGGTCAACAATGCAGGTGTTTTGACATCGTCTGCGGAGAAGTCCAATTCAGAACTTGCCGAGTACCGCACTCAGATTGATGCAATGAATCAACACGCTTTGAACATGCATAAGCTGGCCGAATCTCAGAAGAAGGACTTCGAGGCGGAGATTGAGAAGCTTCGGAAGGAGCAGAGAGAGCTCATCCGGAATTTAAAGTCTCAACCTCTGGAGGGAACTCCTGGACTTATGATTCATTATGGCTCAGGGAAACCCATTCCACAATCCTCGAAGCCCAAGGGCCCAACCATTGTAGAGTTAGCTTCGGGAAGCAAGAAGCCTCAGCATTCATCAGATGCTGACGACGAGCATTTTCAGGCAGAACCTTTGAAGCCACCGGGATTACCCGGCGGTGGACCTCCAGGAGATGACGATGGTGATGATGAATCTGACGACAAGAGAGGTCGCAGAGACAAGAAAGACAAGAAGAAGGACCGCAAGACTAGTCGTGGCCGCTCGCGACGACGACGTCGAAGAGATCCTTCATCCTCACCCTCATCATCGACATCCCCTACGTCGTCAAGTTCGGATTCTGAGAGTTCCTTTACCCGAAAGGTCAAAAAGGCCTTGGAGCGTTCTAGGACTAGTGATACTAAGGCCAAAGAGTCTGATAGGATCCTTGTACCTAAGTTCCCTCAACCCGAAAATTATAGGAATTGGAGAATCCGAGTAAGGGATGCCATAATTGCTGCTTCTGCTAAACCCGACCTAGCTTTTCAGTGGGTGGAGGAAGTGTTCAGGACAGACCAGTCTGCCGATGCCTTGAAGGACTCAGGTAAATTCGTGACCCTGGACGCAAAGCTCATGTCTTCGCTCACCAACATCTGCGAAGGGGACTTTGCACGGCAACTTGACATCTTTAAAGAAGAACAAGCCAAGTCAGGGACACCAGCTAGGGGACGTCAAGCATTGCTCATGATTCATAAACACTTCAGTACTAGTAGGAAGCATGGTGCAGTGTACGACATTGAGGACCTCATGGCTGTTACCTTGGTCAATGATGATCTCAGAGGTTTCATCACCCGATGGGACGCTGTGATCGCTGGAATGACTTCCGAGCCTGACATGATGTGGAAGCAAGCCTACTTTCACAACGCCATCAAGAACTTCAAGCCTCTCTCTCATGATCTGGCTGTGTATGATCGCACACCGGAGGGGGAACCCAACCGCTCTTATGATTTTCTCATGAAAGCTGCGAGGGACTACCTTGAGAGGAGACGTCTGGAGAAGATGAGACAGGCTACCAAGAAGTCCGTTTCAGGCAAAAGAGATGCAACGCCAGCACCCACGAGGCCGACATCCACGGGAAAGCCCACTGGCATTTGCTATGACTTTCAGGCTGGCAAATGTACCAGGGGAAAGGATTGCCGATACCGACATGAAAAGGCAGACAAAGGAAAAGGCGGAGGTAAGAAAGGCAAATCTAGGTCCAAGTCTAGGGGCGATGGTCGATCTTTGTCTCCTGGATCAGGGAACCAAGTGTGTAAGTTTTGGAAGGCAGGTAAGTGTCAACGAGGTAATGACTGTGCTTTCCAACACCCACCAAAGCCTGCAGCTGCATCTACCAAAGATGACAAGCGTGGAAAGAGCCAGAAAAAGAAGAAGAGGAATAAGAAGAAGAAGGGCGATCGCTCCAGATCGTCAAGTCGAGGTTCCAACTCCTCGAGAGGCTCTCAGAGTCTCAAGGACAAAGGGGGAAAACCATCTTCCTCTGGCTCAGCTGCAGTTTGCCTGATGCGCGCTCTGATGATGGTCGCAGTCGTCAACCCTTCGACCAGCACTCATCGCGTGCCGGAAGGCATCGCCTCTCCGCATTGTTTCAACCAGCATTTTGCCATGCCAGTTACACCCAATCGCACTGTTTCATTTGGGGGCAACGATGAAATCTTCGAAGTTCCCATTGAGCAAAACTGTAATTTATATCCGTGCCAAGCCAAGCAACGAACTTTCAATCCAGTTCGCATCACCAAGGACGATCGTACGCGCAAAGATACGATCGAAGCACGAGAAAGTGATGCAATACTTGCAGCACAAATGTTGCAATCAGCTGTCTTTCGGGAGTTGCATGGTAAGCTTTGCAAATGCAGCTTTGAATGTGACAGTGATATCGGCTGTCGCCACTGCATCCGTTCCGACCTGAATGCCCTGCCAGGACATATGCCGTCCCAGCAGCGTAACGCATCCGCTGAGATAGCATGGATTGCTGACACTGGTAGTGCACAGGACTTAGTTTGCAGCAAGATGATTCCCGATGACATCGTGTATCACTCTCATGAACCCCTTGAATTAATCACTGCAAATGGTTCTCAATCAGCTGACCAACAAGCTTCTGTTCACATTGATTGCATCGACAAAGAAGTTCATCCATATGTTCTTCCCGATACCCCGGCTGTAATATCGGTAGGGATGAGATGTATTCAAGATGGATGGGATTTTGTTTGGAAAAGCTTTAGTCGCCCATATTTCAAGAAGAAAGATGGAACCAAGATCAAACTTGAAGTCAAAGATTTTGTTCCTTATCTACCATCCAGAGATGGCCAGGTACCCGCTGCAGTAGGGATTCCGTTTTCATGGAATTCCGCTGCCGGGAACGGCAAGCCCATCATCTCACCTGTTCGAAGGTCTCGCATGTCAGCCGTCGGTGCCGAGTCCGATGATGAAGTCGAGGAGGTCGAAGTACCTTACGAGGCTTCCATCGCTGACGACGATGAAATTCCCGGACAAGCTATCGACGACCTCGAAGAATTCTTTCCTGGTGAACTTGCACCCGGACCGCCAGCAGCCATGACACCAGACGTTGTCGAAGGTTCGGAAGATGAAGCCGAAGCTCCTGAAGAACCAGTTGACGGTCGACTTCAGTTGCCTGAACCAAAGGCGATTGATCGTGGTGAAGCTGCACTTCGAGAAGAGGCCAGGACCCTTAGGCACATGATGACTCATACCCCAAAGAACCCCTTTTGTGAAACATGCAAGTGTGCTAAGATGTACAAACCTACCAAACGTAGCAAAGGGGAATCTCTGACTGTGGGATCCAACAAGTTTGGGGATCACATCACTGGGGATCATCTTGTGACTAGGGATGCCAACGAACAGTCAATTGATGGGGACAGGGTTGCTATGGTCATGAAAGATGTCGCTACGAATTTTCGTTGGATTTATCCTTCAGCTAGAAGTCATGCCAAAGATTGTGTTTTAGCTTTTAGGCATTTCATTGCACCTGGTGAAGAAGTCGGAGTGTTTTATTCCGATGCAGCGCCATCCATCAAGCTCGCTTGTCGGGAGGTTGGG